CCCTTTTCAGTACCTACTCTTAGGCATGAGCTGGCAAGGGAGTTCACGTTTGGTTCTTTTCTGGGTCTCAGGATCTTGACAATGAGAGGAAGCCTGCAGTCATCCTACTTGCATCAGAAGTTGCTGCAGGTGTTTATTCTTACTCTTTCTTAAATTTGATTTACTTCAATCTGTCAATTATAGAAATGTATTGACTCACGTAGTAAGTCTGCAGAGGCCATCATCAAGGTGTTAGCTTATGCTCTGAACTGGATTCCCTCATGATGCCAAGATAGCTGCCACAGATGCGGGTATCACATCACTTTTTTTTTTTAAGGAGCAAGGACAACTACAGCAAAGCACAGATCATGCCCATTTCTGAATTAATCCTAGGCATCAAGAATAGGAAAACCTAGGATTAATTTAGACTGATTACTATATATCCCTTGGGCTATGATGAGGGCCCAACCTTCTGAAGTGCTTGGTTATAGGGTACCTCAAAATTAGGATTGTGTTGGAAAAGAAGAGAAGGAAGTACTAGTAGGCCACCAATAATGTCTGCTCCTCCACTGATCCAAGTACTAAGGCTATGTCAGCAAACCAGCACCACAAGATTCTGCCTCATAAGAAACTTACCTTTTTGGGCCAGCCAGTGGCATGAGATTAAGGCGGCAGGATTCCTCATGCCCAATTGCACGGTTTGAGTCCTGGACCCGGAGATTTGAAAAACATGTGGAGCACATGTGTGTGAGAACCCAGAATCCCAAGAGGAGAATGAAGGAGAAGGGATTTAAGAGTGACTATCCCCCAAGGGGCGTGCTTTCTCATTCTCTCTCTCTCTGTGTCTCTCTGTCTCTCTCCAGTGAGCACATGTATCCTTTGGCAAACAAACAAAAAAGAAGCTTGCCTTCTAGCTTAGAAATGGGAATGAGATGAACAGCTTAGGAGAAAGAAACTTAGTTACAGTAGTGATCAGCCTCAGAAAGTAGCGTAATATTATGTGCACAGGTCTCCTTGGGTGAGATTTAGGCTTATATTATGTGTCAGTAGAGTTGATGGGGCAATTGTGAGAACTAAATATTTTAGACATGAGAATATAATCAGAAAATAGTATGGGAACAAATCAATTGCTAGAGCATTTCTGAATATTTACCGCATGGAAAGCATTGTGTGGGACTTGGGAAAGATGTAAGATACGTGCTTTGGCCCTATGAGAGTTGGTGCAGTTGGACGTAACATATACGTGATAGATTGAAGTACTGCGGGAGTTCGGGAGAGGCTGAGATAACTGGGTTGTCACTGGAATAAATCTTGCCAATTCCATATTTTGAAAATATTTTAGGAAAAGAACATGAAGGCAGTTTTACACAGACAGGCACACATCAAAATTATTTAATAAGGATAGTGACCAAATTAAAACTGGAGGGACAAGAATAGGAGAGTAAGACTGAAATGTTTTCAATGAATTTATGGCCAATTGATTCCTTTTTTCAGTTTTATTATAGGATGTGTGCACTGGCTAAGAGAGGCAGAGAGGAGGGGGGAGTGAGAAATCACCCCCAAGGGTGGATGACTACTTCAAAATCCCTTCTCCATTCTCTGCTCGATATTTTGAGCATGCATGTACCTGCACCTAGTGTGTTTTTCAAGCTGCCGGGTCTGGGACTCAAACTGCATTTTCAATCATGTGGGATCCAGCTGCCTCTACCACACAACACCTGGCTGGCCCTGGCCAACTGATTTTTGACAAAGATGTCAAGAGCACACAGAAAGAAGGACAGTCTTTTCCAAAATTGGAACTGGAGAAACTGGATAACCACATACAAAAGGGTAAGATTAGATTCTCATCTCGTACCATATATACAAATGTCAGCTCAAAATGGATCAAATCCTTCAATAAAATTATAAAACTAATATACGAAAACATACGTGGAAATCCCTATGGCATTGGTTTGGGAATTGATTTTTTGGATATGACTACGACAGCATAGGCAACTGAGGCAAAAATAGACCAATGAGTTGAAAAGAACTAAAAACCTCTGCACAGGGAAAGGAACAATCAACGAAACAGAGATCACCTACGTATTGAGAGAATACTACGACAGCATAGGCAACTGAGGCAAAAATAATCCAATGAGGTGAAAAGAACTAAAAACCTCTGCACAGGAAAAGGAACAATCAACGAAACAGAGATCACCTACGTATTGAGAGAATATATTTGCAAACCATTTATCTGATAAGGGTTTAATATCCTAAATACATGAGAAACTCAACTCAATGACAAGAAAATAAATAACCCAATTTTTTAAATGGCCAAAGAAATGGTATTTCTCAAAAGAAAGCATACAAATGGCCAGTGGTAGATGACAACACAGGGAAATGCAAACTAAAACCACGACGGTGGGGACCGGTGATGGTTAGTGTGGCCCAGCTAAACCAGAGGCACAGACCTGGGTTTGCATCCTGGAGCCTCCCTGAGTGCGCCAGAGTGAGCACACTTACCCGAGATCCACGTGAGTTGCAGCTTGAAGACCTTCTTAGGATGTCTGTGTGTCTCATTCTCTGTGTCTGTCTTTCATGGAAAAAATAAATCTAAAAAGAAATTTATAACCAACTAAGTAAATAAACGAAAAACCGCAATGAGATTTACGTCACACTTGTTAAGATGGCTACTGTAAAAAAAACAAAGGATGGTCTGGCTCCATGGCCTGGTGGTTAAGTCAGCTGAATCCCATATGGTCGATCACACAGTTCGAGTCCCAGACACAGCAGCTTGACAAACATGTCGGGCATGTATCCATGTGTGCCTAAAATCCCGAAAGGAGGGAAAAATGGAGGAGAAGGAATTGTGGTGTGACCATTCCCTATGGGAGGTGTTTTCTCCTATCTCTCTGTATTTCTGTGAGGCAAGAGCCCCCATAGAAGAAAAAATCAAAAAAGACAAAGGATAAGTATTGTGAGGATATGGAGAACAGGGAAAGTGTATGCTGTTGGTGGAATATAAATTAGTGTAGCTATTATGGAAAACAGTATGGCGGATTCTCAAAAGATTAAGAATAGAACTACCATATGATCCAGCAATTCCACTACTGGGTGTCTATCCAAATGAAACAAAATCAGTATGTGGAAGAGGTAGCTGCACTCCCATGTTCATTGCAGTCTTATTTGCAATGGAGCTGGACGACCCTAGAGAACGTTAGACTAAGAAAATAAGCCAAGCACAGAAAGATAATAGTATCTTGATCTCACTTATATGTGCTGGACTCTCACATGGCCAACTATGGTTCAAGTCCTAGGCCTGGTGGCTTGCTTTCTCACTTCCCCCCTCTTTCTCTTTCTGTCTCCCTCATGAGTGTAGGAGCCCTGTAGCAAATGAATAATAATAATGAATAAATAAAATTTTAAAAAAATAAAATTTTAAAAATTGAAAAGTTAATATTATTATCAATATTAATAACACAAAAACATTTTAATTTTAAAAAATCAAAGTATTTTTAAATCTATTGGAAATTTTCTATTGACTTGATTTTCTCAAGGTTCAGAATCTCCTTGCCCTGCCACCAAAGTCAAGAATTAAAACACCATAAAAAACATTCCGTTTTATTCTAGTTGCTCAAATAATGTTTGTTTTTCCCTGCCTGAATTATCTGTCAAATGCACAGAAGAAGTGCGTCAGACTCACAGAAACAGAAAGTAGACTGGTAATTATACGGGCTGAGGATGTGGAACTGGGAAGAAGATAACCGAAGGACAGAAAATTTCAGTTAGACAGGAGTGAGTTCAAGAAATCTATAGTACTTCGTGGTGACTAGAGTTAATAATCTGTGCTCAAAAATTGCTAAAACAGTCCATTACAAGTGCTGTCATCATTAGTAAATAAATAAAGGTCAGTCCGTGGTATGATGGTAAAGGTAGCTGGGTCCCACGTGGCTGACAGAATAGTTTGAGACCTGGACCCAGCAGCTTGAAAAACATGCTGGGTGCATGTGTATACTTACCCAAAATTCCAAGAGGAGAAGGGATTGCAGCATGGCTACCCACTGTGGGGGGTGATTTCTCACTTTCCCCCTCTCTTTCTGTCTTTGGCAAGTGCACACACCCTATAGCAAATGAAACAAATAAATAAATAAGGTAATGCATTTGCTAAGTAGCTTGGTTTAGCAATCCCACAATGTCTCCACCTATCAAAATATATCATGTGCCACAAAATGTACAATTTTTAGTAGTAAACTTTAAATAAAAATATTCCTAACGCAGATCATTAACTAACGTATCTAGGAAAAGAAGTCACTTTAAAAAAATTTTAACACATTCAAGTAAGATTTAACTCAGCAGTACCTACCAGACAAATACCACAAATGATAATCACAGCGTACAGTTACATAGCACTTACCATATGCCAGACACTCTACTGAGCACTTGGGTATCAGCCCATGTCATCATTACATCAGTCCTTCTTTTTTTTTTTTTTTTTTTTTGAGAGGTTTTTTTTTTTGCTATAGGGCCCATGCGCTCGCCAGACAGACAGAGAGAGACAGAGAGACAGGAAGCGAGAAATCACCCCATAGGGGGGATGGCCACGCCACAATCCCTTCTCCTCCGTTCTCCTCTCGGGATCTTGGGCACACACGCACACGCGCCCAGCGTGAGTTTTAAGCCACCAGGTCCGGGAAACGAACCGCGGTTGACTACGTGGGAGTCCAGCGACATAGCCATTACGCTAACTGCTGGTCCCAACATCAGTCCTAAGAGATGCTACTTTCATCCTTATTTCATGGATGAGGAGAACTTAGGGGTAGAGAGGTTAACCAACTGGCCCAAGGTCACACAAACCAGCAAGTGGCAAAGCCAATCCAAGCACAGGCATTTGGGCTCCTGAGTCTCTGGTTTCAGTTGGGATGGAATGAAGACCAGAAAGAGCATGATTATTGAGGGAAAATAACATGTACCAAAGGGTTTTCTTCTCAAGATGTAGAGGAGGGCAGAGCAAATTTGGAATACTATTCTTTGCACCTCTGGTCCTCCATCAAAGCTATTTTGAACATGAGATGCTCACGGAGGTGGCTCACTGCTGTTGGGGACCTGCAGAGAGGAAAGCCTCCTGGTTATGTGACAGATTTAGCAAGACTGAGATGGCTGAAGACCACTCATGGTGGTCACCACTGGGAGTTTGTAAAGGTGAAAAGAACACCTACTTTTCAATAAGCCAACAGGCCTTAAAGGATGTTGCCTCCAATTTCCTCTTATGGAGAATCAGAGAACAGAAAGCTAAGCTGATGATAACAGAGACCTGCAGTGTAGACAGCTTCAAGAGCTATGTAATGCAGACAGCAGGGCAGGTGGGAGGTTGCCATGGCTGGGTTACAACAGAGGTCTAGCCGGCCTGTTTCTCCCCTCCACCCCCAGCTTTTTCCTGTTTGGTTGCCACAGGCTTACTTTTTGGAATGATTTTTACCCATTTCCTGCAGTTATCCTCTTGTCCCACACATCACAAAATGATCCTGCTGAGCTATTTCATAGCATCTCTCCAGCTATTCCATGAATGGGAGCTGGGGAATGTTGGCCATCATACATATCCACGTGCCTGCCACAAGGGCCCTCGCCCTGCTCCTTACGCCCGCCATCACCACATGCAGAGATGCCAAATAGCACCCAAAGAACTTTGGTTTTCTCCAACCCAGCACAGGTCGTTGGATCTAATCCACTTAGCAATACTCTTGCATAGCGAAGGGAATACTTCGTTAGGCTTGGGGGACAAACTCTCAGAGTAAGTACAGACAAATTCCATAAATTCCTTAGCCCTTTTATATCTCAGTTTCATCAGATGTGAAATGACAATAAAATGCCCTGACTCCTGCACAGGGCCATAAAGGTATTATGAGAACCAAATGAAATAACGTGCATGAAAGCCATCTTAAAGGGTGATCACTGTACAAGGGCAATGGACTATTATTCCTTTACACCTCCTACTAAAGGTGGCATAAAAAAAATCTCCATGCCTGCAACAAGGACCCTAGCCCTGCTCCTTCCACCCACTGTCACCACATACAAGCAACAGCTTAGGGAGACTGAATTGGTGCAGTCTTACTGCCATGGCAAGATACCACAGACCGGGTGCCCCAAAGAACAGATAGATTCCTTTTGCACAGTTCTTCAGACTCAAAGTCCAAGGTCATGGTGTTCCCAGGGCTGGTTCTGGTGAAGTCTCTCTCCTTGGGTTGCAGAGAGCTACCTTCTGGCCAAATCTTCACATAGCCTTTCCTTTATGCATCCCCGATGTCTCTTCCTTTTCTTAGGACACCAACTTCATAGGACTAGGGCCCCCACCTTTATGACCTCATGTAACCTAGTTACCTCCTTCAGGGCTCTGTCTCCAATACAGTTACATGGGTGTTAGGGCTTCCGCCTGTTAATTTTAGGAGGACATATTTCCATCCGTAACAAATACCCAGAGGAAAGAGCAGGCTGGCTGTGCCTCCTTTACACAGTCAGGTCTGCTCCTGTCTGTAACAGAGTGTCTAGCCAAGCCCCAGGCTGGGAGTCTGTTCAGACCGCTTGTTTCAGGAACTGGAGGACTGGTGCCCACTTTAGTTATCCATCCCGTAAGTTAATATACAGAAGAATGCCATGGCTTTTTGATGGAATGAGACTCTATCATTGTTGCTTTCTTACTGATTTGTGCAGAGCTGTCTGAGAACGGAGTAGAATGACATCTAGCCCAGGCTAAACTCCATGGTTGGTTTTAGCCCTGTTCAGGGAAGGGTTAAAGAACAAATTAAAGGCTGCCTAGAACCCATCGTGCCCAGTTCCTTAAGGATTAGAAATGTGGGCATCTTTGAAAATCGGCACCTTTGGGATGGGTAATGTTTTAGCAGGGAGGTTCCTTCAAGGGAGTTCATGATCATAGGATATAGACAAAGAAGAAACGAACAGGACAGATGCATCGGTGAACATCCCAAATGTTAAGGGGTGAGTAGTGATGGAACAAGGGACAGAGACTGACTTTATAAGAGCAAGAGTGGAATTTTAAAATATCAATATTTGTATTACTTCTTGATCTCCACAAGTTGGTGGGGCATGGGACATTCAGGTTAAAAGCTCTTAATAATAGATTTCAGGGCAGAGGCTCAGAGACAGATGAGAAGAAGCAGTGGGGAGGCATTTCTGGAGGATCTGGGGGTTATCTTCCCAGCATACATACAGGCTAGTCTTGCAGATAAATAGATCTGAGGTGAATCCCACTAGCCCCATGTATTCTGGGACAGGACACACTACTAGGACAGGTCACGCTACTAGGACAGGTCACACTAGAATTCTGCTTGCAAGCACAAGAAATCAGCCAGTGCAAGAGTTACAGCCAAATAAAGGATCCAGGATTTCAGACTCTCTTCTCCCCTCGTCCAGGGTCAGTGAAGACCGCACAGCTTAGCCTTTCCCATCTGACAGGAGGAGTTAGTACTTGTCATACCAGCCCAGGTAGAGTCCATAATGTAGAGATGCATTTTGAAATTTACTACAGCTTTAACGAGAACAGTGATTCCCTGGGATCACTCACCTACTCACATGAATGCCATCTGAACAAAGCCCGTGGG